TAGTCTTTTAAGAATGATATAGTTTAAATTTTCTTCGTCATTCAGCTGTTGGCTGTACAGGTGGATGGTAATTTATTAACTGGAAGAAATTGGCTTATATTAGCTTTGTGAAAACAGTGTCCAACCTCAGCTGATTGCAACCCTTTGAAAAACTAATCAGTATTTCTGCCTTTAGAGCATTCTAGTGACTCCTTTTTCTGCCATTTTGTCACATTTTGTGTGATTATTTATCCATGATTATTATATTTACCCATAAAGTAATAGAATTTTATTTGGAATAAGAAAATATTTTATATAGGATATTTAGGAAATATCCTGTAGGAAACCAAGAAACTTTCGAGTTCATATTTTCCTTTTAGCTTTGTTTTGATTTTTTAGATTGGAACAAAAGATTGCATGTCTTTATTTAAACAAAACAGAACACTATAGCAAAAAGTGAGGTGCTGTTTATAAGAAATGTAATAGAAAACATGAAATTTTCTTTGAATAATGAAGTTTAGAAAAAAGAAGGAAAGCATTGTCTATTGAGTGAGAAGATAAGAGTGCTTTTACTCTTTCTTCCCAATGGTTGATTTTTTAAAATTATGACTAAATAATCAAACTTACACAATCTGTAGTGGGAATGGCAGAGACTTAATTAGAATAAAGAAGAAACCTGACGAAGATTGCAATCATGAGTTGTTGCATGGTCCTTAGAAACCAGAACAGGACCAGCGTCTCAATAGTGATTCTAACCTTTTCATCAACCCTTTAAGAATCGGATGTAAGCTATAAACCTTCTCCCCACAAATATGTTCATATATATTTTGCCAGCTAAAATCTATTTTTGGATCTCAAGTTGTTAATCACCAATCAAGGTTTAAAACATCTTAGAGTTTATACTATTTCTGTGTTCATACTATGGACAAATCAATTTTAGATAGATTAAGGACTTAAATTTTTTTTAATTTTGAAACTTGTGGAAGAAGTTATAGGTTAATATCCTTCAAACCTTAGAGAAAGGGAAGATTTTAAAAGACATAAAAAGCATTGACTACTAAAGAAAAAAATCGTTTTGAGTATATTAAAATTAAGAACTTTAGAAAGTAGAGTCAAGCATAAACAAAGTGGAAAGCAAGTTATGAAATGGGAGCAGAGATTCACAAAACACACAGCTGGCAAATGATTAGCCTCAATGTGTAAAGAGCAACAACTTGGTGAGAAACGATCAAACAACCCAATAAAAAAATGGAAAAATATAGGAACAGGCATCTCATAGAAAGAGTCAAGTCAACATGAGCAGAATCTCAACCTCGTTACTGATGAGCGAAATGCTTTACCATTTCTAACCTATCCCAACTGACAAGCACTAAAACATCTGACAGTAGCAAGTGTTGATGAGGACAGGGATCCACGGAATCTCATATGCTGCTCATAGAAGTATAATTTGGTGCAATGTTTTGGAAAAGAGGTTTGTCCTTATCTCCTAGAGTTAAACATTCCCTGTAACCTAGCATTTCCATTCATTGGTATCTACTCAAGAGAAATAGTGCGCATGTATACCAGGAGGCATGCAAAACAAGCTGATCGTAGCCCTCTTCACAATAGCAAAACCCTGGGAACAGCTGAAACACCCATCCATGAGAGAGTGAATGAAAAAAATCTCTAGTTTTTATCTAGTATGAATACATGGTGTGTACAGATTAAGTATGCCATATCCAAAATTCTTGGGACCAGAAGTGTTTCAGATTTCTGATTTTTTCTGATTTTGAAATATTTGTATTATACTTACTAATTGAACATCCCAAATCCCAAAAATCTAAACTCCAAAATGTTCCAAGGAGCATTTTTTATTTTTGTCATGTTGGCACCCAAAGTTTTGGATTTTGGAGCATTTCAGATTTTGTATTTTTGGATTTGGGATGCTCAATCTGTAATTGTCCAAATCAGTCAACAACATTGAAATCCAGTGATATGGGTGAATGTTAGCAATATGCTAAGTCAAAAACGTAAGACCCAAGAGATTACATATACCATGATAAGCTTTTTTTAATAATTAAAAACAACCAAAAAATAATGTCTTACATTGACTACATGTAGATGAATTTAAAACAACATAAAAAGGAAAACAATAAATGATTAACTTGGAATTCCAGATAACCGTGGGAAGTAACATGGGATTAGATAAAGGTTATTTTGAAAGTGCTAATTTTTGTTATAGTGGTAGATTTTAGGGTGCTTATTACTTCATTAAAGATAAATAATTATATAACTAGTCTTCTAAGTGGACTATGCATATACCAGTTATGCGAGTGTTTTGAATCAAGGATGATTTATTCCATTTTGTACACCTGAGTTCCAATTTTAAGAAAATTTTTTTCCAAGTTCATCGAATATAGATAGATATAGATATTGAGTGTCAGGAATTACCCTAGGGACTGGCTGGAAATACAGAGACAGGTATGACATAGTCTCTATTTGGTGGTATAATGTAATAGAAATAGCCATTCTACTAAGCGTGTGAAGTCTTACGCTGAACATGGTGGAAGTCTTTGGTGATACAAAGAAGGGAGCAGTTGTTTCTACAACATATCTAGAATTTGCCTCCACTCCACTCCCTCTCACCCCACCTCCTAGCCCACCACAATTCCCTTCTCAGCATACGTATTTGACTGATAGAGTATTTAGACTTCTGGTGGGTTGCCTGTCTCATTCTATCTTATTACAAAGTTAATTTTCTTTGTACTGTAACATGTCTTTCTCATATATACAACTTTAAACTCTTTGAAGTCATGAGCGTTTTTAAAATTCCTCTCAGGCCCCAAAATACCTTGCATAATACTCATGTTGATTATTTAATTTAGCAAAGAATTTAGTACCTATGATGATACAAACACTGCATTTATTCAATAAATCTTTGAAAAATGACCCAATGGATACATGAACAGAGTATAGAAGTTAATAGGTATTAATCAAATTCCTGTTTATTGCTTTGTGCTAGGACCTATGGTGCTCATATAATGTAATATATATTTTGCTGTTTAGTCTCATTATGGGGATGACTTCAACAATTAGAAAATATAGAATGATTTAAAAAACAAAATAAACTTCCTACTTTTATTCTTCACTCCAACATTTTTGATGTCATAATTTACATTTTTGTATTATTTTTGTCTTTTAACAAATTATTGTTGCTATTATTTTTATAATAGTTTTGTCTTTTAACCTTCATACTGAAGATATAAGACAGTATGTTAAGGGAAGTAACCAAGCACAGAAAAATTAATATAGCCTGATCTCACTTAATTGTGGAACCTAAAAAAACAACTCAGAGAAACAGAGAATAAAGTGGTTATCGGGGTCTGGAGGTATTAGGATGGGATTGGGGAGATTTTAGTCAAATAATACAAAATTTCAGTTAGATGGTAGGAATCAGAGATTTACTATACAATATTGTGACTATAGTTAATAACAATGTGTTGTATACTCAAAAATTGCTAAGAGAATATATTTTAAGTGTTCTCACCAAAAGAAATAAAGATGTGAGGTTAGCCATTTTACAATGTACCTCATGTACATTATCTGTCAAAGAAAATAATTTAAGTAAAAAAAATAGAATTTTGATTTAGTGTAAATAGGAAATGACTGAAAATATGGAATAGTGCATATGATTTAGGGAGAACTACAATAAATATAGGCATTTTCTTGACTTTGAAATTATATTTTAAAACAAAACTAAAAGCTGCTGTCTCTGACTTTTCACTTTGCATAGATTGGTAATTTGAGAAGGCAGTCTATAGAACTAAAGCAGTACCACTATGTTTTTCACAAGCAGTAACAATTTCTGTGAAACTAGCAAACGTGTCACTTGTTGATTTCAGTCTGTATGTGATAGAATTCCCATTAAATATTTTTGGTTGAGTAATTGTACTTTATAACTGAAAGATGTTCCTCCCATATGAACACCATTTTGCAAATGAGGAAACTGAAATCTATAAAGGTAAAAAGACTTTAGTAAATTTGCACCGAAAGCAGTAGGACTAGAAGCCAAATCTCCCCTCTCCTAGTTAAGCTTTTTGTTGTTGTTGTTACTGTATGTTGCCATATGTGATCTACACACTTCAGAGCTGCTTTTCATACATTTAGATATCTTGAAAGCTTTTTCACTGTCAAGTAAGTGGCACTTTTAATTTCAAGAAATTAATATGATGTAGTAGAAAAAGCGCTGACCTTTCCAGAAATCCAGAGACCTGAGTGCAACTTCAAATTCAGCTCTACCATTTAATAGGCTGGGAAGTCTGAGATGAACTTGACCATTAATCTTTTGGATGTCATTTCCATCTGCAGAATCTTTACTGTCTCTTCCAGCTTTAACATCTCTTAGCCAAAAGCCAAACCACAGTCCATATGATCTGGTCTGTGGGATATCAGAACAACTAGTTTGATTAACTGATGGTTAAATATGCCAGGGCTTCCCAGATAAATTTACCCAACTCCTTTGTGATCCCACATAATATGTACAGCACTTGCCTGTTTTTCCCCTCAAAAGTGAACTTCTTGAGGGAGGCAACCATGTCCTTTCATGATCGTATTCTCCGTAACTATCACAGAGTAGGCACGCAAATCTTCGTTGAATGAGAGAGCATCTGTTTTGGAGAACTGCCATTGCTTTAGGCTTTCTCTATGCATGTTTTTAGTAAAGGAAAATAGTAGTATTTTAAAACAAGGTTAGTTTGAATACTTGGTATCTTAGCCATTTACCTATATAATCTTCATTTGATCATAAAGATTTTTAAAATGATGAACACCTTCCTTTCTCAATAATTCATCTATGTTTATTTTATGAATAACATGTAGTAAAGAGTCTACATGGTTTAATGCTTCTTTAACTCATTCCTCATAATTCTAATGAAACATATATTTGAAAATTTTTAGGGTCAGGGAACGGTATTAAAAATTGGTCCCATTTGTAAATTTAATTTCCAAGGGTTTATTAATGATTATATCTTTTATTTTTCTAGTTATAATCGCTGGTTATGTCAAGCAAGATCTGAGGATCTATCTGATATTGCTTCTCTAAAAGCCTTATACCAAACAGGTGAGCTTAAATATATGGTAACTTATTCTTTCACTAATTAAGGTTCCTCTACCAAGCATGCTATTTGAGAATTTAATTTTCTCTGATTTCATTTATTGTATCTATAAAATGAACAAAATAGTTTTATACTAATGAAGATAGTTTTACTTGTCATCAAGATCTTAAAAATAACATCCAAATCTATAAAATTTTCAACTTATAATTCAGCATTGGCCAACTTTCTTTCATGATAGTGTCTCTCTTCTTTTAAAAAATGTTTCTGCTTTTATAAGTACCATATACTTGCTATTACAAAATTCAAACCTTATGTAAATATATGATGGAGACAGTGAAAGTTCCCAGATTGCCACTCCTTCTCCATTCTATTTCTTTTTCAGACAGTACTTTTTAGTAATTTTCAGATTTGAGTGCTATTTAGTTTTTCCTGGATCACTAATGTCATTATAAGTTGAAGTGAGTTTAAGCAAAAAGCTATTTATAAAAAGGTTTGGAGGGCTGGGCATAGTGACTCATACCTGGAATTACAGGTGGAGACAGGGACTTGGAATTCAATACCAGACTTTGGTATTTGGCAGGTGGAGACAGGAGGATCATTTGGGACTTGGAATTCAATACCAGACTGGGCAAAATAGTGAGACCCCATCTCTACAAAAAAAAAGTGAAAAAATTAGCCAGGTGTGGTGATACATGCCAGTAGTCCCAGCTACTTTGGAGGGTAAGATGGGAAGATAGCTTGATGCCAGGAGTTGGAGATGGAGGCTACAGTGAGCTATGATCACACCACTGTCCCAGCCTGGGTGACAGAGCAAGTTCCTGTCTCTAGAAAATAATAAAATATTTTAAAAGACCTTTGGCTGTTTGTTCTTGATTTAAAATATTTAAGAAGTCTTCTCTTAAAAAGACAATGATCAGGCCAGGCGTGGTGGCTCACACCTATAATTCCAGCACTTTGGGAGGCTGAGGCAGATGGATCACTGGAGGTCAGAAGTTCAAGACCAGCCTGACCAACATGGTGAAACCCTGTCTTTTTTTAAAAAATAATAATAATAAAAAAGGACAATAATCAAAACTTCATGAAGCTTTTTTAGAAAAGGTGTTGTTACCTGCAAAGTAAAAAAAAAAAAAAAAAATTGGAAGATTAAATTTCAGCAACTTCTTGTTTTCAATGTTTTAAATTCATGTAGAATATATTATAAAGTCAGAACCCAAGACAAATAATATTCTTGGAATGAAGTTTCTGGGTACTGATTACATTTCCTGTTTATAGGTGTTGATAACTGTGGTCGAACAGTGATGGTGGTAGTTGGAAGAAACATTCCTGTAACATTAATAGATATGGATAAGGTAAGCCATAAAAGGGCTCTGTTTTACAAATAATGTTGATTGAAAAATTAAGTAGTATATAAATTTGGAATCAACACCTACAATATGAATCGAGGCTCGATTGTGTATCACTGACAGAGGAGCAGATTTGGTTCTATGGGTAGACCTGTATCATTTCAGGTCGATTGGGGTCTGATTTTTTCTCTGCCCAAGAAATAAAAATACTGGAATACGGTAATATAGTCTCCAAAAACACAGCTGCTTTATTTTGGTTATGATGTAACTAGTAAGTGGTTGGACTCTGTATTGTAGTTGTGTAATCAAATTCTGACTTTTTGAAAAAAGAAAAATTAATGTTTGAGTATCTAATATAAGAGAAAAAAAACAGAAAAGTAGTTTACCCAAGATAGCATAATTCTATAATCCCTTCATTTGGAGTCAACGAGCAGAAGTGGATGATTCATAAAAGAAAAATGATTAAAACTGGCAGATAAAAATAAGAAAATATTCAACCTGATTAGTAGTCCAAAAAAGGTGAATTTAAATGAGATACCTTTATTCACCTTCAAAATTAGCCATAACTCTTAAGAAATGGTTATTGTCATCAAAGATGAAACTATTAAAGTAATCACATCCATTGATCTATTAATTCCATTTCTGAAAACTTGTGCTAAGGAAATAACCCAAAGCTTGGAAGTAGCTATAGGCCCTGACACTATTTAAAGCAGGATACTCATACAAGGGGAAATTTAGCCCACAAGGTAAATATATAGAGAATCCTGGAACACCAGTTTTTTTAGGAACTGACTTCAAAGGATAATAACTTTAACTGATCAGTAATTATTAACCATAGTAAAAAATTATATACTTGAAAAAGCAAAATTACGCAGAATTTAAGGTAAAACGGTTGTACAAAAGCTGATAATTGCTTCTGGTGGTTGCTGGTGTTTTGGTAAAAAAAAGTTGTGAAAGCACTGAACCTGGCATGTTATTCGCAGGGTTATTTGTACAAAAAGTTAAAGCTTAAATTCCTAACAGATAGTTGTGGTACATTCAAATCGGATGTTCTGTGATCCTTACAAATTATGGTTATAGAGGTAAGTACTATAGAGAAATGTCTAGAATATAATTTAATAAGAGAAACAGTGACACATTAAATTGTATTTACATTGACCCTAATTGAGTTGTTTGGTTGGTTGGTTGGTTTTGTTTTTAAACACAAAAACAAGGAAAATATCTCAAGGAAACGGATTTCATGATTTGGGGGAGAATTTGTCTTTCACATTTTTTGGTCATGTGAATATACCTTTATATAGTGAAAATAACTTAAGAAGTTGAATTTGAAGCCAAAAAGTAGTATCCTAATTGCCCTGGGGTGGGGGTAGAGAATGGACAGAAAGAGGATGAAGCAGCAATCTGGTAAGAGGAGAAAAAAGAATAATGAAAATATGCACACACTCATATGTGCTAGGTCATGCCTGTAATCCCAGCACTGTGGGAGGCTGAGGCAGGCAGATTTCTTGAGTCCAGGAGTTCGAAACCAGCCTGAGCAACATGGCAAAATCTTGTCTGTATGAAAAATACAAAAATTAGTCAGGCATGGTAGCACATGCCTGTAGTCCAGCTACTTTGGAGGCTGAGACAGGAGGATCATTTGAGCCTGGAATGCAGAAGCTGCAACATATCCGCAATCAAGATTGTGTCATTGCACTCCAGCCTGGGTGGCAGAGAGAGATCCTGTCTCAAACAAAACACACACAGACACATGTATGCTCGAGTGCATGCACGCACACACAGACACACACACACACACACAGGGAATAACTAAATTGATAGGAATTATACCATTAGTAAAAAGTTTCTGTTTGTAATCATTTGTGTTATTAATAATCAGCATGACACTCATTTTTATAATAATGTGATTATTACCAATAAAACCATAAATCCTTGCACTTGATTTTGTTGTGTTCTGGATATTCACAATGTATCATTTCTTGTAAAATACTGAGATAAATAATGACAATAGTATTAGTTACCAAAGCAAGTAATGAGTGGAAAGATACTGTGTTTTCTTAATGCCCTCCTCTGTCTGCTCTGGTAGCAGTTGGGTCCTAATCCATGTTAATCCAACCATGTTAATGTCAAGACCTCACCTGAAGAGGAATTGGTAAACAGTTTGTTTTATAATTATCCTTCGATTGTTACCTCCAAGCTTTTTCTATGTGATTGTTTACAGGTAAACCACTGGGTCATACTGGCCCTGCCTATATTGTATCTCTGTTTTGTTTTTGGTGTTGCTTTTACATTTGTCATTTATGTAATGGAATATTTCTATAACTGATTTGGGTCACATTAAATTTGAGTCTTTCAGAGCTCTAGAAATGCTTCCTAGCCTATTGCCCATCTACTGATTAAACCCGCTCTCAATGTCCTCCTTCAGATCAGTGCTAAAGATCTAAAAAAATTAGCTCTCAAGTGAATCATGTGAGGCACTTATATCTTTTTTTTTTTTTTTTTTTTTTTTTTTTTGAGACGGAGTTTCGCTCTCGTTACCCAGGCTGGAGTGCAATGGCGCGATCTCGGCTCACCGCAACCTCCGCCTCCCGGGCTCAGGCAATTCTCCTGCCTCAGCCTCCTGAGTAGCTGGGATTACAGGCACATGCCACCATGCCCAGCTAATTTTTTTTTTGCACTTTTAGTAGAGACGGGGTTTCACCATGTTGACCAGGACGGTCTCGATCTCTCGACCTCGTGATCCACCCGCCTCGGCCTCCCAAACTTATATCTTTTTATTGTAATTCTTGGTTATGTGCAGACCATAAGTCTGTTTCTGCGTAGAGACTGCGAAGACTGATTGAATTCAAGCGGAAACTTAAAAAATTATTAAAAGTGTAGAAATTCTACTAATGATTTTAATATCATTATCCTACAGAGGGAAAACTTGGTAGTTGATCAAGAACTTTTTCAAAAATATGTTGTTTCAAGAGTTGTTTTAGAGGATAGAGACTGATTGTTCTCCTCCATCACTTAGAACAAAACAGAAAGGAATTGTACTGTAGCACTTAGGAGAATTATTAAACACTGGGGTGATTCACTTTCCTGGAGATCTTTTTGAAGAGAATGGATATTCATCACTGAGTTATCCATCTGTGATGACTAGGGCATAGAGTTGGTTAGTTTTCTGTTTTTTTGTTTTTTTTCTCTAGACCTCTTAAAATAGACTACTGTTCAAAATGATTATTCCCCTTTTTTTCTTTTAGGCTCTCTTATATTTCATTCATGTAATGGATCACATTGCTGTAAAGGAGTATGTATTAGTGTATTTTCACACACTGACCAGCGAATACAATCACCTGGACTCTGACTTCCTGAAGAAACTCTACGATGTTGTTGATGTCAAGTTAGTTATTTTTGCAAATTACGAAGGGGAAATAGCTTCTTTTTTCCTAATATTAAATGGTGGCAAACATTGCTTTGTATGCTGTAAAAGGATATTTCATGTAACAAAGGTTTTTATCATACATAGAGAGTTCAATCATAGGAGACCCTCCCTAACTGAAACTTATTTTGCATTAAAGTAAATTCACATGTAAACTTTTTACATTACCAGTATTTGTGTATAAAATAACAAACATATCACCTTCTATTTATATGATTATGCTTATCAAAATACATTTATAAACATTATTTACTTTGATCCTTTAACCCATGAGTTGTTTAGAGAGATGTTATCTGTGTTTGAAAGATGGAAGATACTGAGATTCTACAGTGCGAAGCATGTGCCCAAAGCCTCACAACAGTAAATGCAGAATTTGGACTTGAACCCAGGTTACTGACTTGGAACTAGAAAATTATTTTCATTAAAGCATATTTGCCTTGAAATGATAATGGAAATTTTAACCAGAAAATATATGACACTGCACTATAGCAAGGATGAAATGTAGTGTTTCACATTTTTTCTTACTAATATATATATTTTTTTAATAAAAATTGGCACTCAGCCCTCCTGTTAGCTGTTTTGTTATTTGTAGCATCACAATGTCTTTGTGGATTGCATTGAGAAACTTGTTTTACAGTTAGGATACAAAGAAGGCAAATTGCTGTAAATTTCTAGCTATCTTACTCCTCCCAGTAAATCTCATCTTAATTAGGAATATTAAAGCTTTCATTACCCAGTAGATATCTTTTTAGCTTACCCTGAATGTGGGTTGTATGTGAAAGGAAACTCCGCTCCGCTGTAGTTCTGCTTCTACCACTAACCAGTTCTTTAACTTGGAACAGGCCTCAACTGTGAAATAGTTTGCACTACTTCTCTGAAGTCCTTTTCAGTTAACCTCACCTGACCCAATGTTGATTACTGGACTGTTGAAAAAAATTTCAGGCACATGTAGAGAGGCCAGATGGAATAGTGGATAGGAGTATGATTTTGGAGCTGCGTTGCCTGGGTTCAATTCCTGGCTCTGCCACTTTATGGCTGGGTGACTTTGGGAGGGCTGAAATAGCTGCAATAATAATACTGGGCTCATAAAATTGTTACGAGAATTTGAGTAGAAAGCCTTTACAATTTCTGGAACACAGCAAATTCTGTTAGTTGTTACAATATAATGATTGAAACTTTCAGTTTAAAATTTTGCTGTAATTTTAAGTGGTTTAGCTGCTATTTAACTCATACCTCTGATTCCAGAGATTCTAACATATTAAAAAATGACACACAATAAATTTGTTTGTTAAATATGAAAAAACTTTGTCCTACATATAGGTTGCTCTAGCTCAGCTGATAGAGCACTTATTATCTCCTATAAAACAGATACGTTAAAAAATGAAATGTTGTTTGAATTGTTTTTGACATTCACTCAAAATTCAATCTGTAAATTATAGCTGCCTTTATTTTTCTTTGAATATATATACTCAGGCAAAGAGCTAATTGTCTATAATAGTAATTGGTTTTAGGTATGAACTTATACTGATTTTCTTGTCATTTTATTTCTGGATCAGGTACAAGAGGAATTTGAAGGCTGTTTATTTTGTTCATCCCACATTTCGTTCAAAGGTATAGTATTTTTCTCTTTGGCTAAATCTATGATTTATGTGTACTACATGCCCAGAGTATTAAGATATAGCTGAGCATCTTAATTGTTGCTGTCACCTTGTGACTGCTAATTTCCTGGTTGCTAAGTGATCTTGAGTTGTAGTCCTCATGTTTTGGTGTATGTGACTCCAGTGCCTTTCTGGGCAACCCTTAAAAGCTGTTAGCCCATCAGTCCCTGCCTGTTTTTGTGCTCTTTGCTCATGTGGGCCTTGCTTATGCTGTTGGTACAGAGGACACTTCCCTCCTCTGCTCATGGCTACCTCCTGCTTGGCCTTCAGATCTCAGCTCCACTTTTTACAGAAATCCTTCCCTGACTAATACTGCAGCTAGTAGCTGTTCTTGCATTGTAACCCCTTACGATTCTGTAGTCTTGTATCATTGATATGTTTTTATTTTAATTGTGTGTTTAATTTTCTGCCTTATACATGAGCCAGCAAGATCCATGAGGGCTGGAATATAGCAGTGTTGCTCCCAATTATAGTCCTAGTTCCTAAGCCTGTATCTTGACTTTATCAAGATATGTAGTCCCTTGGTCTTTTTGCTCTTTCTAAAAATGCCTTCTTTCTTACCTTTATTTTCTGCTCTATCGAGCTTAAAACTGACATTTTACCACCTCATCCACTCTCGTCATTGCATAAATTAACCTATGACCTCTTACTCTTTCATCATACCTGCCCATCAAAACCTAAACTTAACCCATTGTACTGCTTTCTTCACTCATAGAAACCATCAGCAAAGAGCTCTTTACCTTCCCACTGCAAACCTACTCTTCTGTTCATATCATTGCCTCTTTTTTCTGTGTCACAAAAATGTGTTCCTTCTTAATGAAGGATCCCATAATAATGACATTAGCTAACGTTTTCTGAGAACTTACTAACTGCCAGTTCTTCCCATGAATTATCTTGCTTAAGCTTTGCAGTATACCTGTGAAATAGGTAGTGTTAGTACTCCCACTGTACAGGTAAGGGGAATGATGCTTAGAGGGAATTCAGGAACCAAGGTAACAGATAGTAGCAAAGGCTGGATTTGAATCTAGGCATTTTAATCCCAGGCTGTAAACTAGAGTGTATTTCCATTTCCTTAAGAACCTCTCTTCAACAGGTATGCCTTTCTCCTCTCCCACTTTTCTGCATCCAAATTATCTATCAACTTTTAAGCATGCTAAGACATCTGTTTTTCTCTCCTCCACTTTACAATCAAAATTGTTTGGTATAATCTTTGTTCTGTGCTCATCGTCTTCCATTTCTCATGTGTCTTTTAAATCACTCCAGTGTGATTCTGATCCTGCTCTGCCAGCTGAAGCTTTTAACACCAGAATCATCCATAAATGTCTGGGCCACTAAAAATAATAGACACTTTTCTATGTTACCGGCATTCCCTATAGCTTTAACATAGTTGATTACTTCTTCCTTGACACACTTTGTCTTGGCTTCTTTTGCCTGGTTTCTCTTATCCTTCTAGCTGCTGCTTCTCAGTCTCGTTTGTTGACCTGTCTTTGCTCATCTATTTAGAGACAGGGTCTCACTCTGTCACCTACACTGAAGTGCAGTGGTGTGATTATAGCTTTCTGTAACCTACAACTCCTGGCCTCAAGGGATCCACCTGCTTTGGCCTCCAGAGTATCTAGGACTGCAGATGCACACCATCACACCTGGCTAATTTTTTGTGTGTGTATTTTTATAGAGGGGTTCTTGCCATGTTGCCAAGGCTGGTCTCGAACTTTTGGCGTCAAGTGATGCTCCCACCTTGGCTTCCCAAAGGGCTGGGATTACTGGCATGAGCCACTGCACCTGGCTTCCTGTTTGCATCCTTTGAGTGTTAGTGTTCCTGTGTTTCTCCACCCTCATCTTTAATTCTGTACCTTTTTTATTCCCATTGCTTCAGTGACCCTCCAAAATATAGGCAGTCTTCAAACATATATCTGGGGAGCCAATAAAGCCTAATGTTTAGAACCGTGGTTTCAAGTTTCAGGTGACCTAAGTTCTAATCCCAGCTCTACCAATTACCAATTTATCACCTCAGGCAAGTAGTATAATTTCTCCGCACTTTAGTTTTATACCCTATAAAATGGGAATAATAACAGTACCTATCTTTTAGAGTTATTGTAAGAAGAAATGAGTTAATACATGTAAAATCCTTAAAACGTTATCTGACAATAAGTGCTCAGTAAATAGAAGCTATCTTCGTTGTCATCGTCATCATATCATCATCATTGTTCTTAGGCTTTAGACCGTGGTATGGAATTACCGATCGGGTATCTTTACCTGGGTGTCTTAGAGGCCTCTGAAGTTCGGCATCTTTAAACAGAACTCCTCATACACTCCTCCACCTGTTCCCCAACTGCTGTTTGTGTTCCCTGTGTTACCCAAGTGCCTAAGCCAGAAACCAGAGAGGCGTTCTGGAGCACTTTCTCTGTCTCACCCCCTAGCACATTGCCTCAGTTCTGTGTGTTTACCGTTGCTCAAATTTATGCCTGTGTCTTTATTCCCACTGCCTCGCCATTAGTTCATCCCACGATCCGCTTTTACTGAAATGACACAGCGGCCTCCTAATGTTCATGTCCTCTCCAGTATCGCGCTGCTCCGAGAGCCCTTCAGACAGGCCTTGTGAACCATTTTCTTATAATGTTATTATAAGAAGCCTACGGTAATGGTCCTTTTCAAAACAGTTTGCTCTTTCCTGGTCTAAGCAACGACAAATGAAACATAAGCGAATTGGAACATGTGAGTTGGTTTAGAGAAAAATTACTTATTTGGGCATTAGAAAACAGCTTTAGTGATCTCTTAAATATTAGATAAGTAAGGGTGAGAGAAAGAACTGTGTCATCCATGGTTCCCAGGTGTCATGAGATGTAGGGAATATGGACTGAGATATAAATCAAGAGTCACCATCAGATAAATAGAGATTTAGCTTTTTACATTTATTAATGAAAAAAGCCACAGAGAGACTTAGAGCAAAGAGGACAACTTAAGACATTGCTGAGATCAGGGAAGGAGACCAAGAAGAAATAATCTAAAAATTAGTACAGTGACCAAGATAGACTTAATACTGTAGGAGCCAGTGGAGGGGAAAGTGTAAAAGATGGTAGAAATAGTCATTTTCTAAATCATGGTGTGAAAATTATGTATGATAAATACTGAAACGTCCTCCTTATGTTCTTGAATTAAAAACTTCAGTGAGATAACGATTTTCACTGTATTTTTGTAAATAATTTCTTATTTATAAAATGATTGGGTTTCTCGTTCAGATACCATCTTTAAAATTTATATGAAGTGTTTTGAGTAATTTAAAAACTGCAGGCTGGGCACAGTGGCTCATGCCTATAATCCCAGCTCTTTGGGAGGCTGAGGTGGGAGGATGGCTTGAGTCCAGGAGTTTGAGACCAGCCTACGCAACACAGTGAGACCACCATCTCTACGTTTTGTTTTGTTTTTTTTAAAGAAATGGGAAAAAGTTTTGCATATACACTTCATGAAAGATGTACAGACGGCAACTAAGCTCATGAAAAGATTTTTTTTTTTTTTTTTTTTGAGACAGCATTTCACTTTTGTTGGCCAGACTGGAGTGCAATGGCACTGTCTCAGCTCACTGCAACCTCCGCCTCCCAGATTCAAGCGATTCTCCTTCCTCAGCCTCCCGAGTAGCTGGGACTACAGGCATGGGCCACAATACCCAGCTCATTTTTTGTATTTTTAGTAGAGATGAGGTTTCACCATGTTAGCCAAAATGGTCTTGATCTCCTGACCTCGAGATCCACCCGCCTTGGCCTCCCAAAGTGCTGGTATTATAGGTGTGAGCCACTGCAGCTGGCCATGAAATGATTTTCAACATATTAGTTATTAGGGAAATGCAGATTTAACTACAATGAGATATCATTACAACCCTATTAGAATTTCTGAAATTTGAAAAACTGACCATACCAAATGTTGGTGAGAATGTGGAATAATTGAAAATCTCATATGGTAATCATAATACAAAGTATTACAGCAAGTGTGAAAAACAATTTGGCAGTTTATTTAAAAAGTGAAGCCTACATCTACTATGTGATGCAGCCGTTTCATTCCTAAGTATTTACCCAAGATAAATGAAAACATCCATATAAAAGCTTGTACACAAATGCTCATTGCAGCTTTATTCGTGATAGCAAAACCTAGAAACCCCAAATGCCAATCACTGGGAGAATTGGTAACCAAACTGTGGTACAGCCATATAATAAAATACTACTCAGCAATAAAAATGAATGAACTATTGACATACACAGCAACATGGTGAATCTCAAAATAATTAATGCTGAGGAAAGAACCTTAAGGTTCTTCTTGGTTCCACCTGTGCCATCTCATTGATTTTCTTAGGTTCTTTGTAGAATCTCTAAAATCTCCATAGTCTCTTTAGAGTTTTCATTACTTTAGCTACTTCTGTGATTAGTTGTGGAGCTCTTAATCTGGCATTTTCACTAATCTCTTTTGTAGAAGTTTGTATCAAGAGGGTATATAATAGTATGTGTTTAAACAAACTGATTTTGTTGTATATTCAAGGATTGTTTAAATTAATTCACTTGGTTCTAGAAGGCCAAGTTCTACCCCTGCCCACTCCCCACCTCTCTCCAAATAAACTTGGTAAAATGGGAGGGGAGAAGCTATAGAGGGTAATGTTAATGTTTGAGGCCTTAAGTCAATTGTTGGTAGTGTCATCAACATAGAATAGTGACCCAAGCCGTAAAAACCATTATAAAATAGACCTTATCTTCATTCATTCATTCTTTAACAAATACTAGAGAACTCATGGCTCTGTTAGTACCTCATAATACTGTAGGGACTGTAATTTTGTTTATCTGCTAGGCACTAGGGAGATTTGAGAAATCGGTATAAGTAACAGAAATACCAGGAGGTAACTTAAATCTCTCTACGAAGAGATTTAAGTAAGGTTATAAGAATTTTGTTAAGGAGGTAGTCTGTTGGGAGCTGTAAGGAAAAAATAATGGTGAAAATGACACTTCTTCTGAGTCTGGAAGTTTGAATAAAATTCTGATAGAATTTAGTTCAGTGTTGTCTCTGTTATTCTGTCTTTTCTAACTAAGTATGTAGAAAGCATGTCATATTAAGGGTCTGGACTATGTTAAAGGTTTGGAACAGGCACTGAAGAACATGATAGGATGCCAAAGAAAAATTAACAAAATGATTGAAATCCATGATAAGCACCTAAAGTGGCCTATATTTATAACATACCCAGTTTGTGCCTATTTGGAGTATATTATGCCAGTGCACTGGAAGTTCATGTACATACGTTACCTTCTCCTGTAAGTAAAATGGGGGTAACAGCAATATCATACTGCCCTATTGGACTATTGTATGTTGATAAACATGGACTGATTGGTGATTGCCAATTTAGATAGATGAACAATAATTTTAATCTCTAGCAATTACCTACAGTTTGTCAGTATTGTTTGCTATCAAGAATTTTTTTATCCTTTTTTTGGGAATGAACAAATTTTGTAGACTAGCTTTTAGAGAGGGATCACATGTTGTTAAGTGAAATGAGCAAAGATGGTACCACATCTCCAAGTGATTCACTTTGATGGACTTTGAGAAAGAGACTAATGCCAACTGTCAACTGAAAATACATAAGTTCCAAATATTGGCACAAACTTGCTTTTCAGTCTCATTTGAAAAATTCACAATGTGAGATTTGGAAATATTAACCATTTTCAGAAGACTGGAACATCAATCATTCTACCAAATAATGCGGTGATTTTGACACAATCCACAATAAGAAGCATGTTGTGTATCCCTAACACACGGCACGCATGGGAACATACATACATGTGACAGAAACAAAGGCTTCCTGAAACACAACTCGGTATAGTCTCTAGTCAGTGTTATCTTCATTTCTTCTTTTCAATGTCATTAACAATCAACTAAACTGATGATTGTACAACTCAAATGGCACTTTGAAAAATACTAGTTATTTTAAGATTTTGAAATACAGTTTTTGTCTACTATAAATTTTCCAAATTGTGATTATGTTTCTGAGCATGGCAACTAGCTTAAATTATTTTTTGTCTTCTGTTAATCAGGTGTCAACATGGTTTTTTACCACCTTTTCTGTCTCAGGACTGAAGGACAAAATCCATCATGTGGACAGCCTCCACCAGCTGTTTTCTGCCATATCACCGGAACAGATCGACTTTCCTCCTTTTGTCCTTGAATACGACGCCAGGGTAAGAGGTGCCCGAAGTTCTCCCTCAGCTGGCATGGCATATTAACTGTTCTGTAGGCAGCACTTAGGAACACAACCCCCGTCATCACCAGATAGTAATGTAAATTGGTGGGTCTTAGTAAACGTTATAATACCATTTAACGTACTTTCCTTAGGATGACTTTAGGAAAAGGGTTTGTCCCAAGAGAGGCATTTTCCCCAGATTTGCCTCTGTTTCAGTGGGAGATTTCTCTGTGTGAGTTTGGAGCCAATTTTTGTTTGTATTATAAGTTTTCTACCATATTTTAAACAGATACCTCTGCCTAATTTTCTTAAGATTGGTTGGCCTTCCATCTGCACAGAGCCAGAAGAATTTATTGGCGTCCACTTTTAGGATTAATTGTAAATCATGTAGCCTATCTCAGTAGTCTTTACCCTGCTAAAAGTTTCATTTTTCTCAAAGTTGTATAACGTTTTTAAGAGCATCATCTGATGATATTGTTATTATTTGTAGATGCATTTATGGATCCTTTACATAAGCACTAGTCAAAGGACTACTCATGAATTTCATCAGAGTTTATTCTATTGTGTCTATTTATGGTATCACCTTAGTAATTTTTTGGAAAAAAAAAAAAAGCAACACACTTGGCCAAAAGTTCATCAGGCTTATTGTTTAACTGTTGCTGATTGCGTATCTTTATGCATGAACCAGGGGATATATTTGAAAGTTATATTAAGTTTGAAATGAATTATTCCCTAGTTATTGTGCAATGTGTATACAGTAAAATAAAAATTCTGCAACACAGTTTCTCTCTAACATTGCTCTAACTTTAGCTATAATTTCTTTTTCCCTTATGTGCACAGTAAAGTGTATAATGTGATCTAATAGCTAATAAAATTTTATGTTTGGCTGTTGTACAGAGAGGATTTGTAATTGGAGCAGCTGGATCATAGATATAAAACTTGTTGAATATAGGGAAGAGAAAAGAATACATTAGTTTGTATTAACTGCAGATTGCTGGAGTGGAGAATGATCTTAGTGTTTTCCTTTGAACTCTACGTCACTCATCTTGATGCTTAAAAAAAAATGGATAGCAGAAAATGTGAAAGGCACTAAAGAATATTTTTATACTCAAAATTTGGAATGACAGTTCACAGCCAGTGTCTAGATTTATTATTTATTTTCTGGGATAGAAATGTACATGTTGGGTGTTTGATTAGAAAATCTAAAGGACTTGTATTTTAAGCCAAAGCATTTTCTATATACTTAAGAGCCTATAGACCAGGCTTTCATTAAATATCAACTATAACTCCTCCACACTCAAGCCTGGTTTTGTTTTTTTAGTTTTGTTTGGGTGTTTATTTTAGCTGTTTTGTGTGTGTGTGTGTGTATATATATATATATATATATATATATATATATATAATTTTTTTTTTTTTTTTTTTTTTTTTTTTGAGACAGAGTTTCGCTCTTGTTACCCAGGCTGGAGTGCAATGGCGTGATCTCGGCTCACCGCAACCTCCGCCTCCTGGGTTCAGGCAATTCTCCTGCCTCAGCCTCCTGAGTGTCTGGGATTACAGGCACACGCCACCATGCCCAGATAATTTTTTTGTATTTTTAGTAGAGATGGGGTTTCACCATGTTGACCAGGATGGTTTCGATCTCTTGACCTCCTGATCCACCCGCCTCAGCCTCCCAGAGTGCTGGGATTACAGGCTTGAGCCACCACGCCCGGCAGCTGTTATATTTTTGTATAAATATAGGCATAATGTAATTAATCAAAATTAAGTAAACTAACTTATAATCTAACACTTGGCTCATTGGATCATCTCTCTGTATGTATGCTAGAACTTTCTAAAATTGAGTTATTAGATCAAAGAGAGGCATAAAAATGGGGAAGATACAAAAGAGGGTTTCTTAGTCCATTTCTTCGTTGCTGTAAGAGAATATCCAAGGCTAAGTAATTTATATAGAACAGATTTATTTGGTTCAGGATTCTGCAGGCTGTATGAGAAGCAGGCCACCAGCTTCTGCTTCTGGTGAGGGACTCAGGCTGCTTCCACTCATGGTAGAATGGGAAGGGGAGCCAGTATGTACAGAGATCGCATGGTGGGAAGGGAAGCAAGAGAGAGGAAGGGAAGGTGCCACGTTCTTTTTAACAACCAACTTTCACAGGAACTAATAGAGCAAGGACTTACTCATTACCACACAAGCAGCATCAAGCCGTTTATGAGAGATCCTCCCCACCCCATGACTCAAATACCTTGCATTAGACCCCATCTCCAACACTGGAGATCAAATATTAACATGAGGTTTAGAGGGTCAAATATCCAAAATGTAGCCTTTTGCCCCTAGCCACCCAAACGTCATGTTCTTCTCACATGCAAAATATAATCATTCCATCCCAGTAGTCCCAAAAGTCTTAACTTGTTCCAGCATCAACTTAGAAATTCAAAGTCTCATCTGAGACTCAAGGCAAGTTCCTCACAACTGTAAATCTGTAAAATCAAAATCAAAGTTATTGCTTTCAAGATAAAATGGTTATATAGACACTGGGTAAACATTCCCATTCCAAAAGGGAGGAATAAGAGGAATAGGCCAAAAGAAAGGCATAACCAGCCCCTTGCAAGTCAGAAACCTATCAGAGCAGACATCAAATCTTAAATCTCCAAAATCTCCTTTGACTTCATGTTCTGCATACTGGGCACACTGGTGCAAGGGGTGGGCTCCCAAGGCCTTGAGCACTCCCAATCCCATGGCTTTGCTGGTTGCAGCCCACATGGCTGCTCTCACAGGTTGGAATTGAATGCCAGAGGTTTTTCTAGACTGATTGTGGGGTCTGGATGGGAGCAACCTAACCCCATAGCTCACTAGGCAGTGCCCTAGTGAGGACTGCCTGGAGGTGCTCCTGTACTGCCGTAGACTTCTGCCTGGGAACCCAGGCTTTCTAATATATTCTCTGAAATCTAGTTCCAAGCTGCTAAGCCTCCACCATTCTTGCATTCTGCATGCCTGCAGACTTAACACCTCATGGAAGCCACCAAAGCTTATAGCTTGTACCCTCCAGAGAGCTGTGGCCCAAGCGGTACCTGGGACCCTTTAAGCCATCGCTGGAACCAGAGGGACTGGGATGCAGGGAGCAGCATCCTGAAGTGTTAAAGCCTTGTCCCGCGAAACCATTCTGTTCTTTTAGTCCTCTGGGCCTTTGATGCAAGGAGCTACCTCAAAGATTTATCCTTGCTAATCTCTCTAGCAACTGGTCGCTCCACAGCACCCTTAGAGTCCTCTCTTGAAAATGTTCTTTCCTACTCTACCACGTGCCTAGGCTGAGAGTTTCTAAAATAATTATGTTCTGCATCCTTTTTAATTATAAATTCCAACTTTATGTCATTTCTTTGCACTCATATCTGATCATAAACTATTAAAAGAAGTCACACTACTTCTTGAATGCTTTGCTGCTTAGAAACTTCTTCCACCAGATACCATAGGGTACCAGTATTGTTTAGCCTTCCATAAAACTCTAGGGCAGGCGTCCCCAAACTTTTTACACAGGGGGCCAGTTCACTGTCCCTCAGACTGTTGGAGGGCCGCCACATACTGTGCTCCTCTCACTGACCACCAATGAAAGAGGTGCCCCTGAAGTGCGGCGGGGGGCCAGATAAATGGCCTCAGGGAGCCGCATGCGGCCCGCGGGCCATAATTTGGGGACGCCTGCTCTAGGGGATGGACACAATGCAGCCAATTTCTTTGCTAGGGTGTAACAAGGGTGACCTTTGCTCTAATTCCTAAGTTTCCCATATCCATCTGAGACTTTACCTGCATGGCCTTTGCTGTCTATATTATTGTCAGCATTTTTTTTTTTTGGTCACAACCACTTAACCAATTTCTAAGAAGTTTCAAACTTTCCCTAAGTCTTTCTGTTATCTTCTAAGCCTTGCAAACTCTTCGAACCTCTGCCCATTGCCCAGTTCCAAAGCTGCTTCCAGATTTTCAGGTCTCCTTAAAGCAACACCCCACTCCTCAGTACCAATCTGTCTTCATCCATTTTGTGTTGCCATTAAGGAACACCTGTGGCTAGGTAATTTATAAAGAAAAGAGGTTTTTCAGCTCACAATTCTGCAGGGATTGAGGCTGCTTCTACTCATGGTAGAAGGGGAGGGGGGAGCCAGTGGGTGTAGAGATCATGTGGCAAAAGAGAAAGCAAGAGAGAGAAGGAAGCAGGGTGCCAGTCTCTTTAACAACAAGCTTTCACAGAAATTAATAGAGTGAGAACTTATTACCATGAGGACAGCACCAAGATATTTATGAGGGATATGCCCCCATGACCCAAACACCTCCCACTAGGCCCTACCTCCAGCAAGGGGATCAAATTTCAACATGAGGTTTGAGAGGTCAGATATTCAAACCATAGCAGAAGGTATCAGGAGATGATGTGGGAGGGGCGGGCAGAGAGCACATCGCTGGATACAGTAACTTCACATATTAGTGCTGCAGGTCTTTGGCTTTGTAGTCAGTGGAGAGTGTTCTGCAAGGGAGAATTGCGATTACATTCCTGTTTAGACAATGACTATAGAAAGAGCATAGAGAATGACTAGAGTTCGGGGTAAGTCCACGGGAAAAAGATGAGGTCTGTTAATAATGGCTGGAAGATAAATGAGACAGTATTGTTAGGGCAGTGTTAGTGACAATGGCAGGGATTTGAAGATTGTAGAGATATTTAGGAATGGACATTTTAGGAAATAAAATTTATATCATTTGGTGACTGAGTAGCCACTAAGAATGAAGCAGAAAGTAAGTTTCTGCTTTGGGAGACTTGGTGGATGGTGCTACTACCACCACAGAGAAGCAGTTTGGGGGAAGAGGGTTGAAATACTAGGGGGAAGGGACAGGTACTGTGTTCAGTTTGTGACACATTAGGTTTGAGGTGCTCTTCAGACATTGAAATGGAGATACCAGTAGGTAGCTTCATGTTACCTTGTAAGGAAACATTTTTCTTTGTTAGGAAGATTTAAAAATATGAT